AAGGGTTAAACAAATATCGCACATCACTACTACGGTTACAGAAAAGTTTGCGCTGTAATAATTCACTAACCCTTTAATACATTTTGGTGCTGTTACAAAAAAAAAAACCCACGACTGAATGTTTTGAATGTAAAGCTGTAATGTAGCCGTGGCAGGATGAATTTTGGCGTGGCGCCCCGCAATGTACAGAAACCATGTAGATATATGTGTATTAGAGCTGCACGATTCTGGCTAAAATGAGAATCGCGATTTTTTTTTTTTTTTTTTTTGCTTAAAATAAAGATCACGATTTTCTCACGATTCTGTAGATGTAGAATAAAGGTATGGTAAAAACAAACATATGGCACAACATCGATAATAATATTATGTGTAGATCTACTGGTTTCTATAAATAATTCTATTCTACTTATAATTCTGATGTTGAATTGTTATGTTTGAGATATATGCTTGCAATCCGTCATATTAGACAAATTTATTCACTGGTAAAATCTGAAATTTGCCATTATCAGATTATATTCAACAATATATAGGCTAGAGTAGTTATACTGACATTGTAAACATTTATTTTCATGCACAGCTGTGGGTACGCTATGAAAGAAACTCTAAAATGTGATTTGATCATTTAAATGAAGTGCACACTTTCGGTTTCATTCTGACTGCTAAGTGCTTGTTCATACTTTGCGCGCGGCTCCCAAACGATCACTCTGCCACAAACTGAATATTATTTACAACTGTATTACCTGTTACTCGCAACATATGCAGGTTGTGTTCACTAAAGTAGACGCGCGCGCGTGTCTATCATTAAGCGCGTGCCCTCTCTGTGATAACAGCTCACGGTCAGCAGCTCATGTCACGTGTGATTTCCCGATCGCGAAAACATCATTATATTAAGACAAAAAGGACATTTTTAGGTGAATTATACCTTATAAATACAGTATGTGACTCATTTGGAGGTGTCAATGTCACTGAGCAACGTGTGTGAAACAATGAAAAGACTCGTGCAGCCGCCTTTTCTTCTCTCCTGAACTTGAAAATAGGCTTGGGCGGTATCCAAATTTTGATACCGTCAAACCGCCTCCATATTTTACCCCGGTTTCCGGTATTACCGGCGTAATAAAAAAAATTATGACGTAAGGCTCAGACACCATCAGCAAACTGTTGGCTTGAGCCTAAACCATTCAGAAACTGAATACCTTCTATGCGACCTTAGGCTTGCGGTCAGAGAGAGAGAGAGAGAGAGAGAGAGAGACAGACAGACAGACAGACAGACAGACAGACAGACAGACAGACAGAGACAGAGACGCACAGCACCTCTCTCTCTCTCACACGCACATCTCTCCCGCGATTTATTCAGAAATTTACTCCCACACCATAAGAAATCTGGCCGGCTCCCGCGGTACTGCAGCGGGAATGCAGAGCTGTAATCGGGCCATAAAAATTATACCCGATAGGTCCCGAGTCCGACAGGTACAGTTTGATTGACAGCTTTATAAAGCCCGAACCCATTTACAGCCCGACATTATTCAAATGTGCTCATGCACACAGCTCTATTGCATTTTTTCAAGAATGAGTCATTTATATGTTTTAACATCATTTATTCGTAACAAACGTAGACTAGGCTATGTGCCACTTGAAAGTTGGAACAAAGAAATAAAGTAAGTCCTCTGTAACATCGTAACATATCAGCACTCTATAGGTCTAGGTACATGCACTTAGCCTTTAAATTGGCCAACACACAAATGAAAAAAAATCTTTCTTAACAAATCAAATTAAAATAAACTCTAAATGATGACGGGTATTTTGGCAATAACGAAATTAAGATAAAGGCTCTGCAAGGTTTGTTTCTCCACTTCTCTTCACAATCTGGCATTAAGGCGGCGGTGAAACTGAATAATAATAGAATAATGCCACCATTAGCCTGTATACTCTGTCTACATTATGATTATATGGTTTAATTAATATTTATTTATAATTGAAAAACCCTTTACTCACCAAGATTAGGCTACGTGTGTTTGTGGAGGAACATTATTAAATCCACAGGCTTTAGCGCAGTCCTGCGCTCACGGGGTCCAGCAGCTGAACACCCTTTACTGCAGCTACAGGTCGAGATGCAGAGTTCTGACCTGGCTGATTTTGCAAGTTTTGGGTTGGATTGTTTATTCATCTTCTACCAGTCAGGAACATCCATTTAATTTTCCATGACAGCAGTTTCACTGTAGCGAGTGGCCTCGTCTTTTTACCTGTCAGCTTGCGGTTTAGGGCTCTACCGTAATACGCAGTGTATGAGCGACCGCGAAATACCTGCGGCTGGAATGCGCTCTTTCTGAGCTAGTGACTGGCTTGACCGCCGTAATAATTCGCTTTTTTTTTACTACTACATCATTTGTTTCACCTTTGCAGGGATGGATTTTAATGCAGGGATTTGGATTTTTTCGGGTCTCGCCGGGTTTGGGCAAAGATCTTTAGCTCTAATGCAGACCTCTCGTTCATATTAGCCACGTCTCCCTTCTGTTCAGTCGAAACTGCCAAACTGCAGGACACTTTGAAGCGCGACACGTCACGTCACACCTCCCTCTCTCCCCCTCCCTCTCCCCTTCCCTCTCCCTCTTCCTCTCTCTCTCTCCTCCACACTGTCCCGTGATGACAATCACACATACGTTTTTGTAGGCATTAAATAAAGGATATTTAATATTTTATGACGGTATAACGGTATTGAAACTGACACCGTTGCTATTTTTAGATCCCGCGGTATACCATAATACCGAAATACCGCCCAAGCCTACTTGAAAATATGATTGGCAGAATCGTAGAAATGCTGGATTAAGATCGTCTAGGGG